CTTTGTTCCCTTTTCACTTTACATACATTTTTTCCATTTGATTCTTCTTTTCTTTTCTCCCCTTTTCCCCTCCCTAGTTCCTCTTTCTTTTTGAATTATTTCTTCCAATTCCACACTATCTGGTATACATTTTGGTTCTTATTTACACTTCCAGTTTCTCACACCAGAGAGACAATGTGATATCTATGCATGTGTATTAGACTTATTTCACTTATGAGTATGGTCTCAAGGTCCATCCATTTAGCTATAAATGTCTCTAGCATATTCTTCTGTATGGCTGAGTACTACTGCATTGTATAAAAAAGAACCATATCTTTTTGGTATAACTGTCAGTTGATAACTATTTGGTTATTTTACAAGATTTAGCTATCACAAACTGTGCTTCTATAAACATAGGTGTGCATATATCACTGTGATGTGATTCTTTTTTTTTTTTTTGTCTTTTTTGTTTTTAATCGGTATCAGGGATCGAACTCATGACTGCCTGCTTACAAGGCAGGCGCTTATGCTGCTGGGCTCAATCCCCAGCCCCTGTGATGTGATTCTTTTAATTCTTTTGGGAAGATACTAAGAAAAGGGATATCTAGGTGAAATGGGACCTTGAGTGCTAGGTTTTTGAGAAATCCTCACACAGTTTTCCACAGTGATTGCAGCACTCTACATTCTCACCTAAATTGGAGAAGGGTTCCTGTTTCCCCACAGTCCTAGAGTGTTTATTGTTGGTTGGTTTCTTGATAATTGCCATTCTTTGTAGAGTGAGATTTTTAACTAGCAATTCTCAAATGACTAGCAAGGTTGAAATTTTTTTTCATATATTTATTTGCTGTTTGTGCTGGGGCTATAGCTCAGCAGCACAGTGCCTGCCTAGTAATTAAATTCCCAGTACCCTCCAACCCAAAACATTAAAGCTTTATTTGCATTTTGTAGTTCGTTATCTGAGAAACGTATATGTCTTACTTACTTTTTACTCATTGCTGAGACAAAATACCTGAAGCCCAAAGTTGAGAAATGAAAGGTTTATTTCTTTCAGTTCTTGGAGGTTTCAATCGATACTCAGTTGGCTCCAAGGCAGGCTGGCATGGCGGGGCCGCAGTTCATAGCAGCTGTAAACAGCAAAGCCGAAACCAGCAAAAGAGTGAGACACATCTTCTTCATGCCATTACACACATCCTGGCTCCACCCTATGTGGGTGTAGCACTGACACCATCAATCCAAGCACTGGACAATGAACCAATCACAAATGCACAATGCAAACTCATGAGGCCTGGGGGCCACATACATAAACCATGATAGTATATTAAAAGCAGATGCTCATTTTTTATTGGGTTTTTAAATCTGAGAGGATCTGATTTGTTTTTGAGTTCTTGACATACTGTAAATATTAGTGTTTTGTTAAGGCACAATTGGTAAAACTTTTCCCCATTCTGTGGTTTCTTGGAAACTTCATATTTTTTTATCCTTCATTAATTTCTATATTGATTTTTATTATTTCTTTTCTTCATTTGGTTTAGACTTTGATTTGTTATTATTTTAGTAAGATCATTAATACCTACTTCAAGACCTTTCCTAATGAAAAGGAAAGCATACAGATTCCCAGAAACATAAGAGTTAATAAAGCTAAATCAAGAAGATATACACATTCTAAGTAACCCAATATCAATAAATAAAATTGAAGATGTAACTAAAACCTTATCAAGAAAGAAAACTCATGTTCTGGTGGATTTACTGCTGAGTTCTACAACAACACTAGAGATATAATGCCATTCCTGCTCAAACTCTTCAGTGAAAGAGAAATGGAAGCAACACTTCCAAAGTAATTCCTGGAAGGAAGTATTAGCCTGACACCAAAACTGAAGGAAACAAGTAAGAAAGAGAATTACAGGCCAGTCTCCCTAATGAACATAGATGCAAAAATCCTCAATAAGATACTGGCAAAGAGAATGCAGCAAATGATAAAGATTATATAACATGACCAAGTGAGAATCATCCGTAGGATGCAAGGATGATTCAACATCTGGAAATCAATAAATGTAGTACACTATTTCAATGGAACTAAAGACAAAAATCACATGATCACTTCAATTAACACAGAAAAAGCATTCAACAAAGTCTACCACCCATTCATGATAAAATTCCTACAGAAAAGAAAACAGATGGAGATGATCTCAATCTGGAGTACTAGTACGCCATAAAGAAATGTAAAAATGAGACATTCATAGAGAGATGGATGGACCTTGGGACCACAAGTGAAGTAAAGTGAACACACATGCTTAAATAGCACTTTGTTTCTCGAATGTGAGAAATCAGAGGAGTAAATGAGGACTAAAATAAATCATAGATAGTAGGAAATATGAAGAAAATGTTCAAATGGGAAAGGAGAACTAGGAAAGGGGGAGGGAAAAACAAAGGAAGGAAAAGAAAAATGAGAAAGAGAAGCAAATGGAAATAAAGCTTTGCAAAGAAGGAGGGGGAAAAGGAGGCGAGGAGACTGAGGAATAAAGAAGGATTGAGATACATCATGTACAGGCACAAATTCCCTGTGATGAGTGTGATCACTGTGTATGTCCAAAATGTACCAATAAAATTAATAATAAAAACTAAATAGGAAAACATTTGCTGCTGAAGGATGTCTACTGCCGTTTATTTGGGGACTATAATTGCTGTATTATTCTTCATCCTTTAACCTTCAGACTGTGGGCATCCTGAAGCAGAGACCTGCGTAACGAAATATGTAAACTCGTCTTTTTGTCACTGCTGTTAATTGGGTAACCTGGTGCTTGAAATGCCATCCTTTCTCTTTCCGTCATGTCCTTATTTTAGCCAAAGTGTTTTCTTTTGAAATCCATCTGCCTATCACATACAAGAGGAGCTGAAGTCCAGATAACTGAGAAATTTCAGTGACCTCGTGTTTGTCAAATGATCTTCTTCATTTTCTGAATTAGGTGACCTAACTGTCAGGAGGATGAATAGGGCTGCTTCTCCTTACTTGTATTACAGGGACCCCCAGGGAGACCTTGTATGGGACATGACATGCCAAAGCATTTTGTATAAAAGCATTCAAATGCTTTTGTTTTTTTCACCGTCATACTGTCACAGCTGTATGCGCAAGTTTTCTACATGGTGTGTGATAATAGCATTGCTCTGACAGTTAATGGAATCCATCTCCATCTCTATCCACATAAACAACACCTTTCCAAAGTCTTCTTGGAGTGTCTTTGTAAGACTGTTCATGGATTCTGAGATCCACAAAGTTGAAAATTGGTTGTTCACAGAATACATATCTAACTTAACACAGTGCAACTTTAAATAATGCTTTACCACTTCAGAGACAGTGCAGAAAACTTATGGCCTCCTCCTGTTGAGCTAGAGTCATTCATGTTTACTCTGAAAATGTTAACAGCCCAACAATGTTGCTTCATAGGTTTTCTTTAGATAATTTTCTTTCTAAGGCTTTTTTCTTTCAGCCCTTTAATTGTATTGTGGTGTGCATTTTTTTTTCGTGCATTGTGATGAAAGTCTTTGTTCTCTTATCCCCTGTATGTGATGTGTTCCTATCCATCCTCACTCCCCCCTAGTGGTTTTTACCATTTCTCTTTATTGCTGGATTGTAGAAACTTACAAGTACAGATTGGTTAGGCTCATCTCCACTAGACCCCATGTGAGGCTTCATCCCCAATATGGCCTTGGTGGGAAGAAGAGGATTTAGAGAAAGATCCGGTCATCCCTGCACTGCCCCATAGCTGGGTTAATGTGTTACTTGGGAGACTGGGTTCATTCTCTCAACACTGAATTAGACTGGACTAATCTTTTGGAGTGAGTTATGGCTCCTGGACTCGATGAGTTACTGTGACAGGTAGCTAGTGGCTCATGTGGCTTCCTCATCTGCTCTTTGACTTCCTGTCTTGCTCCGTGCCTTTCTGTCTGGTAACCTCTTTCCTGCCTCACTGTATGTTCTCAGATGCACTCCTGTCCTGTGAGGCCCACTACTGCATAGTGATGAACCAGGACCTGGACTTTGCCTCAAAAATTTTGGCCTAACAACACAAAGTGGGCTAAGGCAGTTACAGTGAGCCATGGAGTAGACATCTTTCCATTTTTCTCTTATATTAGTAGATTTATAATTAAGCCTTGATTTTTTTCAGTCCATATTTAACTATGTTTCTTTTCTCCTTTGTGTTTTTCTGAGATTTCCATTTTATGCACATTAGATCACTTGAATTTTTTCACAGCTCATAGACTGTTGCTTTTTTAACTTTATCTTTTCTTCAGTTTGAACAATTTGACAAATTTCTATTGTTCTTTCTTCAAGTCTACCAAGCTTTTTCTTGCATTTTCTCATCTGACACTAATCTTAATTTATTTTTCTTTGCTAGAAGTTCCATTTGATTTTTGTGTCTTTAATTTTTCTACTCTTTGTGTTCCTATAGCTAGTCATTTCATATATTCTTATTATGCATAATTTTAATGATTTATCATAATTATTTCCTTTTACAATTAGAATTCTATCATCTGTGCCATTTCTTGATCTGTTACTGTTGGGTTGATCATGCACACAGATGATATTTTCTTGCTTGTTTATGTCTGACAATTCCTATGATGCTCCATATATGATTGTTATATAATTGGATGGAGAATTTTGGGGGGAAGATGATCATGTGCATATTTAATCAGAATAATAAAAAGAAGGGTGCCCTATGATTGGGAAGCAGGTTTCAAAAAAGACAGAAAACCACACATGTTCAAGTTTAGGGGTTTCATTCAGGTTTAGGTCAGGTGAACCCGACAGAAAGCAATGGACACTACTAGTTGCTTCCAAGCTTTGGTGTTCAGAAAGGAGGCCATCTGACTTGTATCCCACCCCTCCAAGGTTCCTCCTAGTCTGTTTAGGAACTTGCCCAGCTTCTACCTGACAGCCTGTTTCACAGGACTTCTTTATCCCCCTGTTAATGCATCACTTTCTGGATGATTCTGGTGTCTGCCTCACGTGCTACAATGTCTGCTGAGTGTTGGTTGCTGTGAATAAACACTGTATCTTGCATCATGTGAGCTCTGGAAATTATTCAGCCTATTGCTTTCTTTTTACCTCAGACAACTCCTGCCACAGGTGTGCAAATCAGTCAAAGATTAAAAGTACACTTGGAGGTTAATTCCTATAGTCAGAGGAATTTATTTCATTGTAATTCACACCAGGCCATGAGAAAACACTGGTCTTTCAGAGCAGATTGTCTGGTAAGCACTGAACTGGATGACTAAGGCAGCCTGCTGCTTGGGACTCAGGGAGGGATAATTAGGTGATGTACTGGTGGGGAGGAATGATGGCTTTCTACACTGAGACGTCCTTCTTTACATGTAGGAATTAAGGGACTATGGACTTAGTCCATTTAGAAGTCGTGCCTGAGGGAAATTCTCTGCACCATAAGAGTACAATGCAACTAGCAGTATTAAATATTGTCCAAATATAGTTGTGGTGTGTAAAGCAAATGTGTAGTGGTTTCTTCTTAGAGGAAACTTCTTGTTTATTCTTCTTTATCTACCTTACTCACAAGCCATTTTGCAATAGTATCTGTTATTTAATTTTTTGTTTTTAGTTACACACTGACACTTGTCATCTAAAAATATTAAATGAAAAATTTCAGGCATGAACAATTCATAAGTTTCAAATATATTATCCGAGCAATATGATGAGATCTTGCATGGCTGTGCTCCATTCTTCTGTGGTGAGAATCATTCTTAGGTCTCACATATTCGTGGTACACAATGGTTCACACTTCAGTCCTTATTTGTCAATTCTTCAACTACCCCTGAAATTGGAAAAATTCAGCCACAGTGCATGAGAAGTGCATTGTTACGATAGAAAAGATACAATATTTTGGGTAGAAACCATGAACCCAAAACATGTTTCAGTTGATGGCAATATATTACACCTGAGAGCACTGTGCTTACTTTATAACAAACAGATATAGGTGCTTATGCGTGGAAACGTTAGTCTGTTTAGCATTCATGCGGCATGTAATTTCAGGCATCATTTGAGAATCTTGGGACAGATCCCCTGTGGATACCATGGAGGGGGAAGACAACAGCATTACAGGTAGTGAAAACAGGGTCAAAGGTAGGGTGCAATTTTCAGAAGTACCAATAGATGGCACTATTTCTGTGACTGTGGTTCACTTTTGCAAAGGTGTGTTCCTTCAACAGATCTAATACTTTTGTAGTAACCAGATAGACTGCTGCTGTGCAGAAAAATCTCTGATTTCTTCTAAATGAGGTATTTCTATAAAATCTTATTTTACTTATAAAATATTAAGGGTCATTCCCTTCTATTAACATGGTTTCTGTCATCTGCTCTCTTCTTGTGATACTCTTGACATCTAGTAAGCAACATGTTTTCCTAATCACTAATATTTGAATTGTCTACAATCATTACAGCTTCAGATTTCTTCCCTATATAAAAATATATTTTTCTGTTTCTTTAGGGTGGAGCTATGGAGACTCAGTGACCCAGACAGAGGGCCCTTCATTCTCCCAGAGAGAGCCCCTCTGACCCTGAACAGCACTTACCAGACTAATTACTCAGCTTCTTGCCTAATCTGGTATGTCCAGTATTCCTGCACAGCTCCTGGGCTCCTCCTCAGGAGAGCCACAGAAAACCAGCCGACAGAGAACTGAGGTTTTCAAGGCCACTCTTGTCCAGAGTCAGTGCTCCTTCCCCCTGCAGAAACCCTCACTCCAGCTGTGAGACTCTGCCACATACTACTGCGCCCTGGGGACACAATGAGGAGAGCTGCAGGGGGAGCAGAGCAGAACCCCCCCCCCAAGGGTGCTGGAGGCTGAGGGGAGAAGCTCTGGCAGGGGACAGCTGTGGCCTGCGTTCTGTGAGACTGTAAGAGTGGTCACTCAGTTTCCCCAGGAACATGAGCCCATCTCAGGTCAAATTTCAAGAATCCTGAGAGGTCATGAGCTACACTGATTTAGAAAGACCTGGATGTAAAATCAAAGAGGACAGTTTTGTTCCCTGGAAGTACCTGTGCTCAGCCTAAAAGTTTTCTTTCTCTTTCAGACTCAGGACCCTCTCACCGGTGGCATTTCCTGAAAGTGCTGACCAGTAATTTTTCTCTACCAACCTTTTAGCAGCTATTTAAAATCTCCTGGAATATTAGATTCTTCATGCAAACATGTATGAACCAAGCGAAGGAAACTGAATCTTTGTTATTATTCTGCTTCAGTCTCCAAGATTAAGTGAGGCTCTGCCTGTCCTTACCCCCTGCTGCAGGATATCCTACACAGCTGCACACCAGCCTGTGCTTTATGCAGCTGCTCAGGAGACACAGTTGTAGGTGGACCCTCAAGACCAAGCCACGGGGGAAGTTCCTTTCCTGGCCCTCATAAGACTACAGAAGAGACAGGAAGCAGCCTGGTCAGGAAAGGCCGTGTCCAGTGAGTCCTCCCTCTTCATGTTCAGTTTCCTCTGCCATCACCCCAGCTTATGGCCCCAATCATAGGTGGAGCTGCTCACCTGAGCTGGGGCTTTCATTCTCTGATAATTCATCTCAAATAGTAGAAAAGAAGCCAGGATTTTGACCACATGATTTATTTAAGCAAATGTTAGTCTACATTAATGTACATCAACAGTCAGAGCCGGTCAGCTTCTGCTCTGCCCTCATCCAAGGTTCCCAAGAGAAGGTCAGCTCAGTGGAAGGGGAGGGGAACAAGGAGCCAAGAGGAGATCAGCGAGGTTGTTAGCTAAACCTGCCTCAGCAAACCTGGAAAGAAAGCCAGAAAAGGCAGCGAGAAAGGATAAATCTTTGTACAAAACACTGCAAGCAAAGGGAAAAGGGGCGCAAAGGGAAAACAGGCCAAAGTGACCAATCAGAAAACCAGAAAAGATTTACCTGCAGAAAATGGAGAAATGAAAAATGAGGGGCGGGCAGCCTCTGAGGAAGCAGAAGAGAAATAAATCAAGTCTGATTTATCACACATCGCACATCAACAGTGGTCCTTCTTGTACAATCCAGAGGAACATTTTTAACAAGTATTTTATAAGTGCAACTTTATTAGTAGCTCTAGAAATATTTTTAAAAGGAGGGAGTCATTGCACTTTTTAAGAGTAAAAGATATTTTTTAGAGGTGAAATCATTCCCTGTATGTTTACTTTTTGCTACAACCAGAAAATGGTGGGATATTGAATTATGGCAGGCTTTGACTGTCTTGGATGCCAGCTTAAAATTGCATAGCTCAGGCCAGTTTTATACCCTGCAATACAAAGAATAGTAGGTGGCAATTTGAATCAAAGTTATTGTTTAATATGTCTTGAATTTAATATGTCCATGTCTATTCCCATGTTGTTTTTAGTAGTAATGTTTCCTAAAGAAAACTGCTTCCTTACTGTTGCCCTGTCAGAATTATGTGCACTCTGTAACATCTTCAGTCATGATAGGCCAGTTTGATTAATTTTGTTAATATGCTGTGAAATATCAGAAGGTTGAGTATGTGTATATATGATATAAAATTGTGAATTAGTGGGACTCAAAAAACTCTTTATGAGCATTCAAAGATACTGATAGTCTTTTTACAGAAATCTTGCCTCAGATTTGAAGCTAGAAAGTCACCAGAGTAACTGAAAAAAAAGGAAAAATACATGACTTTTTAGATTTTTGGTATGTGTGTTAAGAATTGTGTGCAAAGTGAAATGTCCAACAGTAGGCCAAATCACTACACAGAAATAGAAATAACTCAGATAGAAATTTATAGACTGAAATACAAAGAATGGAAAATACCACGCAAAGAAACCCAGAAAAAAGCAAGGGTACCTATTCTGTTTTCAGATAACGTGAACTTCAAACCAAGAATGATCAAAAGATAAAGAATATCATTACATACTTGTTAAGAGAAAACTCCAGGAAGAAGACAGAACAAATATAAACATATATGAACCAAACACAGGAGCACACAACTATATAATACAATTACTAATACGCACAAAAATCAAATAAGCCATAACACATTTTAATGGGAGACCTTATTACTCCATTTTCACAAAGAGATAGATCAGTTAGACAAATAATCAGCAAAAAAAAAATCATGCGAACCAACCTGTGAACAAATGAATGCAGTAGATATTTTCTAAGTATTACAGCTAATGTCATCATAATACACATTCATCTCAGCTTCACATGTGACATTCTATAAAACAGACAATATGATAGTTCACAAAACATGCTTAAGTAAATGCAAAAGAACTGAAATTACCTCATGCATATTATAGAATTATAGCATGATGCCACTGGAAACTAATGGCAGAAGAAACTCCAAAACTCCATAAACACATGAAAATTAAATAACACTCTACTAAACCAATCAGTGGATCACAGAAGAAATGAAGAAATTAAAAATATCTACAACTAAATGAGGATAGAGACAAAGGATAAAGGGAACTTATGGAATGCAATGAAAGCAGTCTGAAGAGGGAAATTTACAGTGGTGAATTGTCACATCAGGAAAAAAAAAAGAACAAGCACAAATAAAAAATCTAATGTTATAACTCAAGCTTCTAGGAAAAAAGAGCAGGACTAACCCAAAGCTTATACAAGGGAAGAAATTATAAATGTCAGACCAGAAACTAACACAATGGAGACCAAGAAAACTACACAAAGAATTAATAAATTGAAGAGTGGATTCGTTGAAAAAATAAATAAAATTGATCAACTCTTAGCCAACCTTATCAAAAAAGGAAACAAAATACTCAAATTCATGCAATGAGGATTGAAAAGGGTGAAATCACTACATATCCTGAGGAAATTCAGATCACCAATACCTACTTTGAAAAAGTCTTTACTCTCATAAGATGAGAAACACAGAAGAAACAGACAGAATCCTAGACACATATGAACTGCCATGGTTGGATCAAGAAGAATGAAAAATTATGAATAACTCAATATCATTTAATAAAGTGGAAAACATAATTAAAAACTTACCACCAAGGAAAATCCCAGGTCTTGATGCATTCACCACTGAATTCTACAAGAAATTTAGAGAAGATTTAATGCCAAGACTCCTCAAACTCTTCAATGAAGTACAAAGTGAAGCCATTCTCCCTAATTCATTCCTGGAGTCATGTATTACCCTGAAACAAAAACCAGAGAAAGACCTAAGAACAACAGCAAAAAATAAATAAATAAATAAATAAATAAATAAATAAAAGAAATAAAAGAAGAAAGAAAGAAAAAGAAGACAAACTCTTTCATGTACATACAAGCAAAAATTCTCCATAAGATACTGGCAAACAGCATGCAGCAAATCATCAAGAAGATTGCACACCATGACCAAGTGGGATTCATCTCAGGAATGCAGGGATGGATCAACATATGCAAACAAACATATGCAATGCGTCATATCAACACAACGAAAGACAAAAATCACATAATCATTTCAATACACCTGAAAAGCTTATGATAATATCTAGGACTTATACATGATTTAAAAAGTCTACAGAAAATTGGATAGATGGTCTTTATGGTAATCTGCTAAAAGCCATCTATGACAAAACAGCAGCCAGCATCATACTAAATGGAAAAGCTGAAGGCCTTCACTGTAAAATCAGGAGTAGGGCAAGGATGTACACTATCAGCATTTTGATTAATATAGTTCTGAAAACATTAGTCAGAAAATAGGACAAGGAGAGACAAAAAAAGAACAAGGATAGAAAAGAAAAAGTGAAACTATCATTATTCACAGCTGACATGACACTGTACATAGAAGACCCCAAAAACTCCACCAAAAGACTCCTAAAGTTGATAACCAAATTCAATTGCATAGCTGGATACAAGGTCAACAATCAAAAATCAATAGCATTCCTGTACACAAACTACAAACTCACTGAGAAAGAAATTAGGAACACTAAGCCCTTCACAATTACATCCAAAAAAACGAAATACTTAGGAATGAATACAGTGAAGGAAGTAAAGGATCTATATATTGAAAATCATAGTGCTTTGAAAAAGTAATTTAAAGTGGATATCAGAAAACTGAATGATATTACTTGCTCATGGTTAGGAAGAACCAACTTAGTGAAATGGCCGCACTCTAAAAATTGTTATACAGATTTAATGCAATCCCAATACAACTACCATTAACATATCTCACAGAACTGTATAAAACAGTCATAAAATTCATGTGGAAGAGTCCTAGAATAGCAAAGGCAATCTTGGAGAAGAAAGGTAAGGCAGGAGGCATCGTAACCCCTGATTTAAAATCATACTACAAGCTACTGTGGTAAAATCAGCATAGTACTGGCAATGGAATATGCCACTGAGAAAGAATGAAACAGATTTTAGAAGATGTAGACACAACTACAAATACACTCAGCTCCCTATTTTTGAAAAAGGGGCCAAACATGTTCACTGGAGGAAAGAAGCCTCTTTAATAAGTCCTGCTGGGGCTGTGTCTATCACCATGCACTAAACAAAAGTCAGAATGGATCAAGGATCTCAATGTTAAAAAAAAAACAAAAAACAAACAAGCAAAAAAAAAAAAAAAAACTACATTTACTGAAAGAAAGTAGGTCCTGAAGACAGGGAGTAGGCAGAGACCTCATGAACACAACCCAAACAGCATTGGAAATTCTTCACAGAATCAACAAATGGAATCTTACATCTGATTGAAAAGCTTTTGCACAACAAAACAAATCACTAGTAGAATGAAAAGGTCAACCACAGAGTGGGAAAATCCATCTAGAACATACAAAGAATTGACAAATACCAGAACCCCCAAATTCAAAGATTCAGTTCAAGACTGGACTGCTGAAACACACACACTTCTCAGATGCATAAATACAAATATCAAATAAAATATGTAAAAATGTTAAACATCACTTGTCATTTGAGACAAGCAAATTAAAACAACCCTGAGGTTTTATCTCACCTAGTGAGAATGACTTTTATTAAGAAATCAACCATTTGCTGAAGGGGCGGTAATGAGAAAGGAATTCTTTTCCAATGTTGGTGTAGTGTAGACTGGTGCAACCACGGTAGAAATCAGTGTGGAGATTTCTGAAAAACTAGGATTAGATGTCCCATTCATCCCAGCTATTCCTCTTCTGGGTATTTGCTCAAAAGAATTATAAGCATAATACCACAGTGATATCTGTGAACCCATATTTATAGCAGTACAATGTGTAATAGCCAGACCTTGGAAACAATCTAAATGCTCATCAACCAAGGATGGATAAAAAAAGATGTGGTATTTTTATACAATGGAGTATCACTTATCTATGAAGAAGGATGAACTTGAGACATTTATAGGGGAACAGATGCAGCTAGAGACTATACTTATTAGTGAAATAAATCAGACTCACACGTGTAAACACCATATTGTTCCCAAGTGTAAAAAGCTAAAAGAGTAAACATGATCCAAAATGCACAATAGATACTGTGAAATGGGAAGACAGTTTTCTAAAGGAAAGAGAAATTTGGATGGGGAAAGGGGAAGGAAAGGAAAGGAAAATGAGAAAAGTATATGTATATATATATATATATATATATGTATATGTATATATCAGTTAAGATAGTTATGTAACTAATTGCTATTAGCTCATTGAAAAAGAAAAATTTGTGCCATATTGTCTGATCAATTTTTCATCTCTGCACCTTGTAGTATGAGTAACTACTTTGAAGGTAACAATACACAATAATGCCAATTTTATTCTGCTACAATCTTGTTTTTAAATTTCATACCTTTGTTTTTACATAAAAAATTCTCATATACTTTTCTGTAAAGCAGGTGATATGTGAATGCAAACATCATGGATGCATCTCTAAGGAAAGACTCCTTTTCCTCTGTGTGTATAAAGGGAGGGAAGATAAAAATTCCCTTACTGACTAGAAAGGGAAATAAAATGTCTACTTTCATGTTTCTGAAAGTGAAGTGTAACAGCGCTAGACAAATGATTCTCTCTCACCAGGCCAAACTTCAGACCCCAGAATAAACTCTCAGTTTTTGTAAGAAACCAGGCTTCGTTCTCTCCTTTTCCATTCTGTACTGTAATAGTTCAATCGTGTGAACTGAACACCCAGGCTCCCACCCCAGCATAATTTCATGTAATTTTATTGCTTTTCCTGAAAACTATTTTGTGCTCATTTTAACTCAAACTTTTGTCTTTTTATAACAAAGTCAAGCTAATGACCATACAAAAACATAAATTCTCCTTCGTACGTATTGTAGTCAGGGATTGTGCAGAGAAGAATTAAAATCATGACATGGAGTTTATAATACTGTTTTGTGATGGTCACTCAGAGTTAACACAAGAAAATGCAAGTATCCACGACACTAAAGATATGGAATATTTAGCTAAGAGCCTGAATCCCACAGCAATGTCCCACAAATCCAACTGAGTCCCAGAGCTCATGAAAATGCCTCCCAGTAATCCATCTGGAGGTCCAGAACCCACAAGAAGGACTCACACCAGTCTCTTTTATGGATCCATGCTGGGAAGGCCCAAAGGTCAGCAGTGGAAGCCAGAAAGTCTATGCCAGCGGGGTGAAGGGGCTGTGCTGGTAGTCTGAGGGTTCTACGCTGGAGCCAAGAAGTCACAGTCACAACAAAGACCAGGGCTGTTCTGAAAAGCACCACAGTCATCCTCAGCCACATGGAGGCCCCAACCTCCTCCAACAACAAGCAGAGTCTAGTACCTGCCAGGAAGCCTGCTTGATGAGTTCATCCTGGAGACCAAGCAGCACACTACTTCCCCTCTGGAGCCAGGAAGCAATGCTCGAAGTGAGGACCAGAGCTTCTCCAGGAGAACCAACGGCTTAAACAGCAACACATAGGAGAACCCCCAATGCCTCAACGCATCTCAGTGCCTAGCTTCTCCTTCTCCACGTCTCTAGTTATGCTGCCAACTTTCCTCAGGTGAAACATCCATGTTCAGCAGCATGGTGATTCAATTCTTCTGGCGTTCAATTTACCACCAGTTTTTAATCTACAACAGTACATTATCATAAAGCTTTGAATTTCAACCTTAGAAGGCCAGAAGAAAATGGGGAAATTTGTCAAAGGCTTTCAAATCTTTTCGTTAGCTCTCTTTCTGACCACTAGAAGGCGCTGTCCCCTAATCTGGAAATGGCTTTCTGTCTAATGGAATAGATGCACAAACACCTTTCTTCCTCTACAGTTTGAGTGATCTGAACAAGGAGGGGGGCAGTAATAGTTAAAAGGGAAGATTACCGAGCACATGGACAAATGAATCATTATTAGCGCCTAAAAACCCTTTTTGCTGAATATGCCTTTCATTCAACAGCTCTGCCTTCTAAATGTTAATTGATGACACCTTAATAGGAATTGGAAACCTTTCCTTATGTCCTCAGCACTTGCAACTGTCACACATGTGTACATTGTTATCGCGACTCTTATCTGCATCGTTACCTGTCTCTCTCACAGAATACTCCCGGGTCAGAGAAACATAGAAAGAAAAAGCAAGACTGAGATTCCAAAGCATAAGAGGCAGATTTTTTTAAAAAAGAAAATTATTGCTCAGTATTTTATATACCAGAGAAAAATCTGAGGTTTATTTTATATATTCAAAATGATGTCAAAACTATTTAATGCTATTATTTCTTTAATATTTTTTCTGCCTCTTTCTGGTGGCTGCAAGAAAGAGAACGTAAGAAGAAAACAGGAAACATAATGGGAGACATACAGTGAGAAGAGAAAGTGGGGGAAGGAAAGGAATCATAAAGAACAGAGATTTTACCAGCTGCAAGCATGAGACACAGACAGTTATTAAAAGATAAGGATCATTTAAAAAGCCATATTGCACAGGCAAGGTGATATGTAACTCTTGCCTGAATTGATACTACTTTTGTCCTCATGGTTTAATGGTTTTTTAACTAGTATCAGTTATTTTACATAACTTATAATTTTAAGTGACACACACAAATACAGTTATAGGTATTAATAGAATATTATGTGAAATTTAGGTGCATATATGTTTAAATCAGGTTAAGAAATATTTTCTTAAACATTTATTATTTAAAAATTATTTATTTGAGCTGAGGTCTTGCTGTGTTTCTCAGGCTTCCTGGAACCCTTGGGCTCAAGTGATCTGCTGTCTCAGCTTCTTGAGTAGCAGAGGTTATAGGTGTGAGTCACCATCTCCTGCTAAATATTTATCATTTCCTTAGGGTGGGAAATTTTACACTCCTTACTCCAACCTTGTGAAGATAACAGTGCATTATCATTTTTAGTCACCCTAATGTGCAATTGCACACCTGAACTTCTTGCTCCTATGTGTCATTTAGTACACACGGATTAAACTCTCCGCAACCCTCCGTCTCCTTAAGGTGTAATTCCTTATAATAATGTTTACCACAACTCTTGGTTAATCCAGGAGAATCGCAATCGACGTACTCCAGTAGGAAGACAACATTATGCTTGTACCTTAGAGGGTTTACAACCTTTTTACTTAGTATGCCTGGAGTGATTCTCATGTAAATTAACTCACAGGTTAATAAGGACCATTAGAACACATATTTCTTTTCTTGGTTTCAATACGTGTACAGGCATGTCCTTTTTGTGATGATCATGGACTCAGTAATACAGCTGAGCTGTTTTCTTTTGAACAAGTACCTTCCCTTCTCCCTGACATGCCCCCTCACACTCCTCACAATTCACGGATTACCAGAAAATTTTCCTCTAATGACTTTTCTCTTTCCCATCTCTCCCCACCAGGTTGCACCAGATTCTCAAAGGTTTGAGTGTGGGAGGGGCTTCCTGCACAGAGTCTGTGGAAGACTCGCAGTGTCGGGCCTGGGCAGGTTCTTCAGTGGAGCTGATTGCCTATAGGAGCAGGAGCAGTTCCAGAACCAGAAACTGATAGCAGTGCCCCTGAGCTGACTAAGTGCATCTGACTGATGATCCCAGGACAAGAAGTGTCATGAAGAGGATTCTGAGCTATGTGCTGGGGTTTTTGTGCACCCAGCTCTGTAAGTTGAGCTGTCTCAAATTTGGGGACTTTAAAACATTTTAGCAGTGCAGTGGAGGGGGTGGAGGAAGGAGTCACAAATCTTGTGGACTTTCTTCCCCCTCATGATCCATGGGGGCATTTTCAGGGCTGTGAAGATGCTTCAGTGACATCACCTGTGACCATTTCTCCATTCCTACTCAGGTGTGAGAGGGATGCAGGTGGAGCAGAGTCCTCCAGCCCAGATCCTCCAGGAGGGAACCAGTTTCACTCTGTCATGCAATTTTTCTGACTCAGTGACCAATGTGCAGTGGTTTCGCCAAGATTCTGAGGGATACCTGGTCAACCTGTTCTATGTTCCTTCTGGGACAAAGAAGAATGGAAGACTACAGGCCACGACAGTCCCTAAAGAACGCTGCAGCTCACTGTCCATCTCCTCTTCCCAGCTCACAGACTCAGCCTCTTATTTCTGTGCTGCAGCCCACAGCGCTCCCTAGGCGCCTGCAGCTGTTGCACAAACCCTCAGCTGAACTCAGCCCCACACCAGCCACAGGCACATCACGGGGCCACCGCAGCAGCACCTTCACAGGTTTATATGTTTTATCTGCACTGGTAGAGTGTCAAGTACACACACTGTTTGACTTCATGGGTTTGATCTTTATCTTGCATTCTAAATTATACTTCCCCTTACACAGAGTTCTAATTTAGAACTAGCGAGGTAGTTGATAGGACTTCTGGATCCAAATAAATATTAAATTCCAGTGTTCTGGTTTCCCCGAGAATAAAAAAGCAAAAGGAATAAAAAGAAAAGAAAGCTACGCAGTAAAGGTGTTAATGGTGACAATGTGTCTTTGCTGTGTGTCTCAGGCACATTCAGTTCTGTCTTACCACAAGGTGTTCCCGCAGGCAAGTGCAAATACTTTGCTTGCAGTCAGTCATAGCAGGGCAGCAGAAAAAAGAATAAAACAGTGAATGCTCATATATTATAAATAGATGTCAGAGAAAATGTAAAGCTATGCTTTCCATTCATCTAAGTCCCTCCAAGTTCTTGAAGCTTGGTGTGTGGCTTAGGACTTAGTCTACACTGGAGTGTCCCCAGCAGGTCTGAGAGCACTGTGTGCCTGCTGGAGGATGTCTTCAGGACACTCTGTTCTATGGGGTTGCTCAAGTCTTTTATTTCCTTGCAGTCATTCTGTCTAGCTGTATCTATTATTGAAAATACTGAAGTCTCCCAACTGTTATTATTGAATTTCTGTTTCTCTGGGTAGTTCCTTTTGTCTTTTGCTGCATGTATTTTGGGGTCTGCTGTTAGGTGTCTGTACATTTTATCTGTTATGTTTTTCCTAACTGACTTACTTTTTACTATGATAAATGATCTCTCTTTAGTAACTTGGTTGAAGTATGTGGGAACATTATAGCAACTCCGATTCTCTTAAGGCTGCTGTTAAAATGATACAACTTTTTCTGAGTTAAACTTATTTCCACCTGCTATAATTTGCATCTGGAAAGTTATCCAAAGGCCTATAAATGAGGTTATTTGGCACTGTGGTGAGGTGGGACCCAGTGGGAGGATTTAGCTCCTGGCATGCCTGCCCTTGATGAGTGCAGGGCGCAGGTTCTTCCTCTCAGTGCCCGGGTTGCCAGGAGGTGAGCAGCTTCCGGTGCTGTGTGCACCATGGTCCACAGCCTCGCAAAAGATTGAATGGCAAAGAGAGTATTTGCTGTGCACCAAAAGCTCCCAAAGGGTGACTTCAGTCATTTTGTTGGTGACAGAAGCAGATGAACAAAAAAACTTTGACAGTAAGATGACTCACTTATCACAGCAAAAAAATTAGATTAGATGAAATTTTGTATTCCATACCCTTACATATTGTAACTTAAAACTCAGTAAAGTAAGGACAGGTTTAAAGAATCAGTTTCTCATAAATTTGAAATATGAAAAAAAAAATACAAAATATCTTTTCTCTAAAACCTTTTCTAATCACTCTCAAGCCCTAGAAGAATGGAAGGGATGTGAGTCCTAAAGGAAATTTAGACCCATTCGGCATTGTCAGGAGACAGAGCTGGGTGATCAGCATGATTTCCTGGAACACTTTTATGTTCTCATTGGATTATCTCTATTTTTTACTTTTTTATTAGTGTGCTTGTGATGCATAATAAGTATAGTATGAAAAATGGGGCATCAATCCTCCATCTTTTTTACTTCATTTTCCTTTCTCCACACTCTGATCTCTGTCTGTCTTCTTATTGTCTTGATCTTTGCTAAAATTAATTGAACACACATGTGTGAGCCTATTTCTGTGTCACAGTACACATATGGATCTCTGTGTCTCTCTTTCACCATTACCAACCTCCTTAGATTGCTGTTCTGTACACTTAGTGTTGGTGGGATCTGTCCCCAGTGTTCCTTTTGATAACTGTCTTGGTTACTCCAGCAGATTTACACTTGCATGTAAATTATGCATTCAGTTCATCAACTGAGTGATGTAATAAGATTTTGAGTGATATTTCATTAAAATTTTTTTTTGTCTTTTTCCTTTTTATCGGTACCAGAGATTGAACTCACGACTGCCTGCTTGCAAGGCAGGCACTTATGCCACTGAGCTAAATCCCCAGTCCCCAATTAAAATTTTTTAAAATGGAGAATTTGAGATAATTGAGTCTTTCAATTCATGTACACATCTCCCCATTTATTGATTATTTTATACTGATTGGGCAGAGGTTTTGGACATTTAAAAAAATAAAGTCATGAATTGAAAGAAAATAGTTTAAACATACATGCTATTCAAAGAGTTTTACATATAATATGTAAAGAGTTCTTGAAAAACAAAGTATAAATTTTAAAATGAATAAAATGAGTATAGCATTCCTATATAAGACACACAAATGAGAAATAAGCAAATAAAAAAAAGAACATTCATCATCAGAGGCTAACAAAACAAGATCCATGGGCCAAATGTAAGGATTCACTTATTTTTATCAGTTTTAATTGGAACAAAGATGTGTCATTTATGTTTTATGAATTGCTTCTTACATGCTGTAGATACAGAGCTAAGTATCTGCAACAGAGACTGAAAACCCTGAAAGCGGAAAATCTGCAGTACCCAATTCTCTATGCAAAAAAACTTATCCACTATTCTGCATTAGTAATTATCACAGAAACAGTGTCATCGAACCTAAGTGAGGCAGGAATAGATCAGCAGTGAGACAGGCTGAGCCCAGGAGTCAGTGCTGACGATGAGAACACATCAGGGCTGTGGCCACAGGCGCATCTGAAGAAGACTAAAATTGCAAGGGTGAGATTTACTACTTCCCTAAGTGACTCTTAGGATACTTAGCAGAAGCTCGTGATCAGTGATGTCACCTGTTTGAGGTTTCCTATTGTCTCATTAGCGGTGGATCATCCTCTGCCACCCACCAACACTAAGACTAAAACCACTACGACTAAACTAGGACTGCCAAGACTAAGACTATAGATACTGACCAAGGTTAATGATGTCACCCACCTGCCCACACACCAGTGGATCAGTGTCACCTAAGTGACTATACTTGCAATCGTATTGGTTAAAAATAATTTTGATCTCTGTTGTACCCACCTCATAATTTTACTCTAAAATCTTCATTTGAGAAGTGGTCTCATTGGCAACCCATTCAAGATCCCTCCTATTGATATGGGGAAAGAAACTCCCAACCTGCTCGATGTTCACTATGATTTCATATTCTCTATAAAGAATAAATTACAGGAGCAATGGAAATTAAGAGCAAAATATATTCATTGAGAGAAAGAAAGCTTCTTTCCACGAGAGTGACAGAAGGGGTCCTAAGTGGGTTGCTGAGGATTCTGTCTTTTCCAGGAATTTTTATAGAGCAAAATCACAAAATGAAATAGGTCTGAGATGGGGAATAATGGGAAATCACAAAGTGGGCATGAAGTAGGACAGAACTATGGCCAACCCATAAGACTATGAGTATAATTGTGGGTAAAATTGAATAAATCAGGATCAAATGGGGGAAGCAAATCATGCAGCAAGAAGGAATGCATACAGAACAGGAGGACTGGATTAGTGGCTCCTTCTGGCTTCTTCAAAGTGAACAGACAGACTCCCCAACTCAGCGGTCATGGCACATTCAACTCCCCCCCCCCCACACCTCAGAAACCACATCTCAGAGGCAGCCATGACCTGCTGCTGCACAATTCTGCACTTGGACTGTCAGGAGCACAGGCAGCCAACTCACCAGGAGGGAAACTCCATCACCACGTTGCTCCCAGGGTGCTGTGCGCACCCACAGTCTCCATCCGCTGAAGTACAAATAAATGCAAACCAGAATACTGCTTGCCTGCCACCTCTCAGGTGAAATGGGATAGAGGAGAAACTCAAAATATTTATTAGCATCTCTTTACAACACACACTGATCTGTTATTACAACCTGTATCAAGAACTGGAACTGTCTTAGAGACTTCATATTTATGTTTCTTGGTTTCTAATTGCCTTTTGGTCCCTTTAATTTAATTCATCTATTGAAATAAAGAAGGAAAAGGACGAGCAGCAAGGTCCCACATGATCACATAGTAGGATGCAAAAACTCAGTCACCATTATCAGGAGTTTTCAGGTGTCCTGTGTGCTTTCAGGAGCAGATAATAGCATGTATCACAGAAAGACCTGGAATTCTCTTCATGGGGTTATTAGTAAGAGGAGAATAAAGATCAATGTTTGATGCTATAGTATAGACAATATGGTAGAATAAATCTAACATACATGTCTAAGAAGTTTAATTAGTTTTGTGAAGGCAATAGTTTTGATTATATTCATTCTATTAAAATCTAGTAAATAAAACTTGTTATCCAGTTTTGAAAGAATAGCATTTTGTTATGCTTATAATCCCTCCCCCAAACCACCCCAAAACAGTTTCACCTCCAAAGACTGTGGGATGGAATTTCATAACATGATTTACATACAGTTCTGTTATTTGTAAAATTGAAATAGATCCTAAAGCTCAGTAAGGGAGAAGTCACAATGATTGAGTTGCACTAGATTGCCTATCACAGAAAAGAAAAGACCTAAATGGAGAAGAGTAAACATTTGTCAGTTTAGTGACCAGGCAGAGGATTAGAAGGAGAGTCTGGGGCTCCTGGTCAATTTCACTATAAATGTGCCCCTAAACTAATCTATTGAGTAGTATCTCCATGCATTAGCCAGCTCAATCTGCAGTTCCTTTCAGCTCCAGCTCTCAAACTAACTGCTTCTCTCAGTGTCATTTCTAAGAACTTCCTATCTGAGCTCCAGTGGAAACAAGGGTAGACAGAAGATCAGTTTTTTCTCACGTGTGCGCAGACCCTGTGGTGTATGAACCTAAAAACCCTATTTCCTGTTTGGGGGAGTCGCCTAGGAGCTCAGGAATTACTTATATGTGCACTGCCAGGCACTGAGGGGCCTGAAACTGAAGTGGGAGGCAGAACAAAACACTCTATGCAGAGGGACAAAGACACATGTCACTCTCCAGCCTGCTGTGGGTGTCCGTGGTCTTCATCTGCTCTGGTATGGATGGTGCAAATACTTTCAAGATTGTTAAGGATGAAAGGCATAAACATAGATGGGTGCTTCACACAGTCTAGGGTCAGAAAGAGGGATGGGGAGAAAGCAAGGAAACAGTGGCTTCAGTTTTGTCTGTGCAACCTAAATTAGTCTAATTCTCACAATATTTTATTCACTATGTCATGTAAATCAGCTGTCTCTGATTGTTCCCACAGGATCCAGTGTGGCCCAGAAAGTGACTCAAGTCCAGCCACTCACATCCAGAGCAGTAGGGGAAACAGTCACCCTGGACTGCTCCTATGAGACAACCTGGAGCTCATACTATCTTTATTGGTACAAGCAACTTCCCAGTGGAGAGATGCTTTTTCTTATTAGACAGTATTCTTCAGATTCCAATGCAAAGAGTGGTCGCTATTCTGTCAACTTCCAGAAAGCAGCTAAGTCCATCAGCCTCACCATTTCAACCATACAGATGGAAGATTCGGCTAAGTATTTCTGTGCTATCAGAGAACCCACAGTATTTGAACCGAAGGTAAATGCTGAACAAAAACTCAGGAGTTCTCTGAGAGCCACGCCCTGCTGCAGGAGCTCAGCTGAGACTCACACCTGCAGATCCCAGCAGGAAGGAAACACAGCAGTTGCTTCACTGTGGTCTTTATCAAAAGATTAATTTCTAAGTAAAACCTGCTTCATTCTCATTTGGAAACAGGTGTCAGGAGCAACTTTTCTGTGGTACTTTCTGTCTTCGATTTCTGAATCAAAAATAATTCATCAGAGCACCCATCTGTGGGTGATGTTTGTGCCTTTTCTAGCTGAGGCACACTCTACCATTGATATCCTACAGCTTAACTGCTGAGACACAATGAAACATGGTGGAACCTGCATTGGGTGCCTTACGCCTCCATCTGCAGATGAATGAACAGAGACTAAGTCATGGTTATTATGGGATGTACATGAATATGTTCATATCAAAGGATATTTCATAACTTTTGCAGGCTATGTCTCTCCAAGTGGACACACAGTTGCAGCTGGCTTTTACAGCTCTCTCCATGCTCTGCCCACTGTGCCCACAGGTGCCCCTGACTTTCTATAAAATAAGCTGATCAACAAGGGGCAGTTCTGCATGAACACTATGAAGTCAGCTAAGAAATTCTGTGCCTCCATGACTCTGATTTCAGCAGGAATCACAGACAAGCGAATGAAAGCAAATCACACTTGAGAACAGCAGTAAAATCTTTGCAACACCCAGAGGAAGCTCATATGATACATTCTGAGAAACAACATCAAGGAAAAGGCCTCAGTTTTCCTTAGGCATAACATAGTTCAAAGAGTAAAAATCATGTTAAAAGTACTTGAAGTGAAATAAGGTTTCAAGGTGTTTCTCTATGAACATAACATATATTTAAAATTTTCCTTGTTGAAAATCACTCTTAAGCCATGTCCACTGTACATGCCTGTGATCTCTGCTGCTGGGGAGTGTGAGGCTGAGGAACCGTGCATTCAAGGCCAGTCAGGGAGAATTCAGCCAGACTCTGTGTCAACAAAAGAAAGAAAATAAAAAAGGAAAGTCATGGTTAAGCCTGTGGAAAGTCCACTCAGATAATGAAAAACTGTATTTTCAGTGTGTATTTCCCTTCTTAATTACTATTATTGTAAAGAATGAGGTCACTGTGATATCTAGGCTTCCTTCACACTCCTGGGCTCAAGGTACTCTCCTGCCTCAGTCTCCTGACCAGACTGGACTACAGATATGCACTAGAACATCAAGCTCTGACATGCATATTTCTGAAAATGGATTTGTGCAGAATATACACAGATTTTATAAAATTAGTAGAAAAATATGCATCAGTTAATATTCTGAAAAATACCACTTCAGATTTAAAATACCTAATAGTAAACACACTTAAAGTCATGCAATAATGAAGAAAATGAAAACTTTACCAAGAAAATGAAATCTGATGTTTGCTGAGGTTACTGTATGCAAGGCTTGGTATTATATATTTCAAACTTATCTAATTTAAACACCGAGATGTGGGTCTTATTATTTTCATTTACAATGTTGGGAAATGAGATAATGCTTTTCCTAGTGTTGACCAGCATCTCTGACTTAGCATTAGCTTGTGTCAAGCATTTGGAGACTCCTAAAGCGCAGAGTTCTGGTTATGGAGAAGCAAGGACCTCACAGCAGGGTTGCTGATGTGTCTGTCATGGTGACATTATTGGGATTCAGAGGGACTGGGGAAATAGTTGCCAAACTTAGGTACAAACTGACCAAGGCTCAGTGCATTTTAAAGCCATCCACTAACCAATAGGAGTGTTGAATGCATTACAAATCTTTCCTACCAGGCTGTGTTGGTCAGTGGCAGGCGCTGGAGGGAAAGCTAGTCCTGAGACACTGGGCACACTTCCCAGTCAGGACCTTTGTCCCTTGTGCTTGCCCTTCCTGGGATTCTTTCCCCCAAGTGTCTGTATGGCTCATTTCTGCGCATTCTCTGTGTCCTCACTCAGCCATCACCACCCTTCAAAATCTTTACCTAGCTGTATCTATTTCTCTTCTCTGAGAATCAGGCACTAACCCTGTGTGGCCAGAACTGCAGCAGTTCTGGCTAAAACGCTGCCACCTGGTGTCCAGATAAAGTATTTTAACACAGTCAAACTAGCCTCCTTGTTACCCTTTAGTGTTCACAAGTTAGACTAGTTCACAAGTGAAACCTCTCTCAAAAGGAGCCACCTTTGTTCAACCAGCTGGTGTAATTCTTTGGGCAATAATCATGTGGGACAGAACTCAGAAGGACTAGCTGATTGCTGAGTTATTATGCTGCCAGATGGGAAAATGATAAACATATGGGGTGACTGGAAGCAGGAAACTCTGACTCCCAAGCTCCCACTGTAATATGGCAGTGCATTAACATTTCACTAATAGTAAGAACCATAATAGGCTATGAAATCTGCTTCGTGAATTGTAAATTACACCCCAGAAGGATATTGTGAGTTTCATTGTGGGTAAACTCTGGGCAAGAGGGGACTAGCGGGCAAGAGGGGAAATGAGTTTTTTAAAAGAGAGAGGAAAAGAAAATCAGTGCCCTCTTTTATGGTTTGAGTATACAAACTCTGCCAGGTTGTGAGGATAATGATAGTTATCACCTGGATACCCATTTGTATCTGTACGGCTTGTAACATGTTCTCAGCCACCCCAAAAGGGGCAGACAGAATGAGCTCATGCCCTTCAGTTCTGAGAGGAAGCGGGGGGGGGGGGCAGAGAGATTAGAGGACTTCATTTTATCTAAAGTGTTAGGACCCAAAATTCTGAATGAGGTGAAGACTTAGCTTCCTAAAGTGTCACCCTGAGTCTGTTCTCTCTACTGGGTCTCAGGACCAGGCTTCCCACATTTGCTGGAGACACTGGATGGGTCCTTCTTTGTGTCTTCCTGCTGAGCAAGTTTTAGTTCCATCTGACCTGGAATGGGGTGTAGTGACCTGAAGGAAACCTGCTGAGGTCACTGCTCACTGTCCTGTGCACAGCTCCACACTTCCTCCTATGTCTGATTAGAGGGAGCTGGAACCCCTTATCTCCAGGGCTTTCATGTATAAACACTGATTTTCTGGTTACTCAGAACTCTAACAGCTGAAAAGGTAAAGCTAATGGCTGATATGTTTCAGAGGGCAAGGGATTGGGAAATAGGAAAGAAAATGTATGAAAGCTTCTTGGCAGACTTAAAAAGTCAATGCTTTTTTACCTCACGCAGCAGGCTTTGCCAAAGAAATGTCACTGGACATGATACTAAAAGGTTCACAGTGAAGTCATGTAGAACCCAAATTCATCCTAGCTATAGAATCAACATGCAGGTTTATTGACTGCCATCACTGGAAAACAATTTTCAAGAAATGTCAGGAAGAGGCATAAGCAGGTTGTTAGGGAGAATTTTGAAAGTACATGCTCACATAAATAAAGTATAGGCCTTGAAGAGAGAGGGATATTGCTGTTGGAACTGGGAACATTTATGTTTCTCTTGAGGTAGAAACATATGGAAAAGATGGTCTAGCCCTTAAAAGCACAATGACCTACTTTACAGGTGAAAGATATGAGGGTTTTTTCCTTAGATATTTTAAACACTGTTTATACTATATCAGTCTGTTTGTTTATCTTAACATCAAAACTCTGTTCTGTACTTTCTCAACCTAAACTCTTTAATGAACTTACAGTATCCTTAAGGAGTGTTGGGGATCATGGGTCTGGAAGGAGAGAGGCATAAATTAACCAAGGATTTGCCAATACTAGTAACTTTGGGTAATTCTGACCATGTCTTAGGAACTGCAGCCTTCTTAAATGTGCAATTTTTAAAAATTATGATTTTTCTTATCTCTTTTCTAACTATCTTTATTTCTTCTATCCTACCTCAGTATCTGCTAAATTTCATGCCATTAAAGGTACTTAGATCTTCCCCAAAGGCTGTTCAAATCCCTAGAAGGAGCACTCTGGAGAGAAACCTATTTGGTCCACTTGGCTGTGCTTCATGTTAACTCACCTGACTTCAGTGTCACACGACTCTTCTGTCTCCTTCCACTGCGGGTCCTTTCAAGGTGTTTCTGCTCAGGCTGCCCTGCTAGCCTGACACTAGCAGACGGTCACCCTAAGGCAACACAATGACTGGTCCAGGCTCTTCAACTGTTGCTGTTCCAGAAAAGACATTTAAGTGGAAGAATGTCTTACATGTGACTGTGAACAGTCATCCGCAAAATTTAATTGTGAAGTCCCTTTTTGGGACAGTTATAAAACTTTAAGGGTAGCTGGAGAATTAGACCAAATAAGTTTATAAGTGAAAGGCAGATATCCATTGAGGAAGACAGAGTCTCAGTTAATTTAAAAGTTCATTTTCAAGACTGAGTCAGTTGGTAACTCATGAATAAAAGAGACAAAGCCTTTGAATATTCATTGTGATGTGTGTAGAGAATACTCAATGCCAATGCTTCAAAACTGCTTTCACTTCTGGAGTTAAAAGCAAATCCACTGTCTTTAAAAACAGCTGCAGTAAAATTACCCTTGTTTTAACGGATTCTACCTGTGAAATGATGGCGGACATGCTGGTTATATTTTTTCCCAATACAAATCGAAGCAACATTTTTGTATAACATTTATGAAGCTCAAATCTGTATTGCTTGATTTTCCCTCTCGTATCAATGATGCTTTAGGAAACACTCAGTGTAGGAACCTTGTTTAATTTATGAAATAATCAAGACACAAAGGAATGCTGTGACTTAATGCATGACTTAAAGAACTAGAACCCAGAAATCGAAGCTGTGTATTCTGACCTGACAGGTGCTAATTCTGTAAAAAATGCAAACAAATCCAGAGTCTGAAGGAAGGATCCTAGTAGGTGTTATAAATTAAACTAAATTAAATTCGTATCATTTAATTATACTTTTATTTTGGATGAGTTAGAAGATAAAAATATGTCCAGGCACTAAACACTGGTGACTGTTCTGACTTACATTTCAAGTCTTTTAGAGTGAAGAAATTAAGAGGATGTACTTCCATTACAGCAGAACTGTATAAATGGCTATTGGTCAAAACATGTAAATGGACATAGGAAAAACAACTTTAAGCAGGTATGTGTACATGCACACACTAGAAGGAAGAGAAATGCTTTTCTCCAGTACAGTTTAGCTGAA